TTCCTCACCCACAGATACTGCCAGACCTGCTGAGTTTCTCCAGCAATCTCTGATTTTGTTTGTTTCACATCTCCAGCATTTTTGTGTGATAAAGTATTTTTGTTTTGGTCGGGGGTTGGGGGGGGGGCGGGTTGAGAGAGGGTAGAAAGTGTACCTCAGTGAGGGGCAGGTCGGGGTCCAGTTGGGTGAAGCTGTTCAGAACCACAGAGCTGGCATCTCCCGTCACTTCGAGCCTCACTCCGTCCCAGATCTGCTTCAGGCGCCGGGAGCCGTCAAACATCTTGTGCCCGCTGGCCGCGCACTCATTGTGCAGCTCCGGCCACATCAGGCGGACCATGGGCGAAGTCTGGTTTCTCTCGGAGCCCTCTCTCTCTCTCTCACTCTCACTCAGACAGACAGTTTTCTGGTTTAAATCGCTGGCGAGAGAGACATTCTCCAGCCCCGGGGGCTGACAGCTTGTACCACAGCGCTGGGCTGCCCCCAGCCTTTTATTACAGGGAAGGCACTACTCCATCTCCTGGCTCCCTCTCTGTAACACACTGCAGCGCGGCTTCCAGCCCTAAATGAGATGTGGTAGGGAGTCACTGCGATTACACCCTGCCCAGGAGAGGCAGGACCATGATGTCAGTGCTGTGCAACCTCCCAACTCCGGACCGGAGTTACACCGAGAGCCGGACTGGATTGAATCCACAAACATAACCCCGTCCCCATCAAAACTAAGGCAGATGCTGTGAAGTTCACGGTAACCTATCGAACTTAGCCGTGTACTCGATGGAGCACTGTGGTTTCCTCGTCAAAGAAGCACTGATCGTCAGAGGCAAGAAAACAAGTCGGCCCAATGCAGCAGCAGATTGCTGCAGATGCTGGTAACAAGCGAAAACAAGAAATAGCTGGGAATCACAGCAGATCAGGCAGCATCAGAACTCTGAATCATCTAAAGCTCTCTCTCTCCATTGAAAGCTGCCTGACCCACTGTGATTTCCAGCAATTTGTTTTTGTTTCCAGTACAGAAGTAGGCCATTCAGCCCATCTGCTCTACCATTCAATGAAATCACAGCTAATCTGATTATCAATACAGCACAGGAACAGTACCTTCAGCTTCCAAGCCTGCGCTTAGACATTTTGCCCTTCCGTACTAAAACTGTCTTCACTTACAGGATCCATATCCCTCTATCCCCTCAAACTCCACTCTCCTGCTGTAACCTTTGATTCCCTTGCTGATTAAGAATCTATCTGAACCTTGAATTATCTTAACACCCCAGCTTCGACAGCCTTCTATGGTAAAGAACTCCACTGATTCTGAGAAGAAATTCCTCCTCATCTCTGTGTTAATGGGTGATCTTTTATTCTGACATTATGCCCTCTGGTCCTAGATTCTCTCACAAGGGGATATAATCTCTTCATGTCTACCCTGACAAGCCCCCTCAGAATTTTGTATGTTTCAATAAGGTCACCTCTTATTCTTCTAAACTCCAATGAATACAGACCCAACCTACTCAACTTCCCCTCTTAAGTCATACCTGGCATAAGCCTAGTGAACCCTATCTGGATTGCCTCCAATGCCATGACATCTTTCCTGCATAAAGGGCTTAAAATTATTCACAGTATTTCAGATGTGTTCTCACTAGTGCCCTGTATGCTTTCAGCAAAGCCTCCCTACTTTTATACTCTATTCCCTTTGAAATAATGGCCAATGTTCCGTTGTGATTGCAGCTACACTGTGTGGACTGCAAAGGTTTTAAGAAGGCAACTTCTTGAGGGCAATAAAATGCTGGCCCAGCCAGCAACAACTGTGCTCCATTAACAAATAAAAAGTAAATTAAACAGAAGTTACTCAGATGCCTAGATATACACGGATTTGAATATTGGTTTAGCGGGCAGCGCGCTTACCTCTGAATTATAGGGTCCTGGGGATTAAACCCCACTCCAGCATTTGAGTACAACAATCCAGTATGGTACTGAGGGAGCGCTACACTGTTGGCAGCGCTGCCTTCAGCCAGGACATTGATCTGAGGCCTCACCTGCTTGCTCAGGGAGATGTAAAAGATCCCATGGCATTATCGTGAAGAAGGGCAGGGTATTTAACTCCAGAGTACTGAACAATATTTATCCCTCAATCAACATCACAAAAGCACTTTATATTTACATGGATGTGGGTATCACTAACTTAGTCAGCACACATTTATTGCCCATCAATGTTAACCACACTGCTGTTGGTCTGGAGTCACTTATGGGTCTGGTCAGATAAAGATGGCAGATTTCCTTCCCTAAAGTGAACCAGGCAGGCTTTTATGATAATGGTAACATGATCAGATTTTACTGGATTTAAATTCATAATCGGATTTAAACCAGCACATTAAGACTAGGATAGACAAACAGGCGGCTGAAAGAACACAGCAGGCCAGGCAACGTCTGGAGGAAAGGAGCAGTCAATGTTTCGGGTATTTCCCTTCTTCAGGAGTCCTGATGAAGGGTAATGCCCAAAATGTTGACTGCTCCTTTCCTCCAGATGCTGCCTGGCCTGCTGTGTTCTTCCAGCTGCCTGTTTGTCTACCTTGGATTCCAGCATCTGCAGTTTTTTTTGTCTCTACATTAAGACTAGGATTCTAGATTATTAATCCAGGAGTATTATCACTACACAATCACCTCCCTTTTGTCATTACATTATTAATTACATTGCTCTTTGTGGGAATTTGCTGGGTCCAAAAGAGCTGCCATGTTTTCTATATTACAGTAGTCACTACACTTCAAAAAAACTTGGCTGTAAAGTACTTTGAGACATCTGTTAGCTATGAAAAACTCCATGCTAATGCAAGACTTCTGTTTTTACTTTAAATATGACAACATTTGCTGCTCCAACTACTCTGGAATCCAAACTGTACTACCTTCCTTCACGGTTTCTACAGCTGTGTATTTCAAGCAATTCTGTACTGGAAAATTGCTACAAATGCTGACTGACATAGTCCAGAGGGTCACTTTAGTGTCTTCAACCCACCCTTGATACAACCCAATCCAGTGTCATCTGCCAAACAGGTGAAAATGCTGCCAAATGTCTGGAGACAGCAGCAGAACCAATCTGTTTAAAAAAAAAACTCGACAGCTACAAAACTCGACGCCTGATGAGGTGCTGAGGAACAGACAGCTACGAGGGTTGCTACAGGAAGAATATCATAAAACTGGAGAGGGTTCGGAAAAGGTTTACCAGGATGTTGCTGGGAATGGAGGGTCTGAGTTATAAAGATAGGCTGGATAAGCTGGGACATTTTTCCACTGGTACATAGGAGGTTGATGGGTGACCTTATTGAGGTTTATAAAATCATGAGGGGCATAGATAAGGTGAATGGCAAGGGTCTTTTCCCCAGGGTGGGGGAGTTCATAACTAGGGGACATATTTTTTAAGGTGAGAGGAGAAAAATTTATAAAGCATGTGAGGGGCAACGTTTTCACACAGAGAGTATTTCATGTGTGGAATGAACTCCCAGAGGAAATGGCGGATGCAGGTACAGACACAACATTTAAAAGACATTTGCATAAATTTATAGGAAGGGTTTGGAGGGATATGCACCAAGCATAGGCAGGTGGGACTAGTTTAGTTTGAGAAAATGGTTGGCGTGGACTGGTTGGATCGAAGGGTCTGTTTCTATGCTGTATGACTCTATGACTGAAGCTGAAAGTGAGCCTCTTAATTTCATTTCAGAATCTCTTCCTTTTCCTCATAGCCCTGATGTGTTAACAGGATGTGATGTCCATGGAGTTTCCATTCTCAGTCCATCTGCTATGAGGTTGCTTTATAAATGTACAATGTTGTTGTTGGGCTTTTTTGCTGCCCCCTATGGTCAGCTCCAGAACAACATTCCTTTCAACCAGAAGAACTAAATAAATAGGAGCAGAAGTGAGTCATTTGTCCTTTAGAACCCGTTCCATCAATTCAACGAGATCATGGCTGATCTTTTACTTCAACTTCACTTTCATGCATGATCCTCATTCTATATATTCAAGAATTTGTCGAGCTGCTTCTTGAATATACTCAACAACTGGGATTATAAAATTTCACTTTCTCAGCTTGGAGGTGGTACAAGGAAGCTAGTAAATAAAGAACTTGCATTTATATAGTGTCTTTCATGACCTGATGATGTCGTAAAGCACCTGACAGCCAACGAAGTAATTTTGAAGTGTAGGAAACATGGCAGCCAGCTTACGCACAGCAAGATCCCAAGAACAGTGAAAGGCAAAAGGTCAGTTGATTTTTTTTGCGGTATTAGTGGAGAGATAAATATTGCAATAATTCCTTGAGAGGGTAGAACAATGGAATCAGTTGGTGGCACGGAGATGCCATGCTGAGGGAGTGGTGGGGGGGGTACTGCACTCTCTGAGCAGCAGACTTAAAACCAAAGCCTCCATCACCTTCTCACATGAGTGTGCAGGATCCTGTTTTGAAAGGAGATCTGGTAGGGGAAAATTGCCTCAAATTTGTCAAATATCCCTCAGCTCCTTGTGGGATCTTGCTGTGCACAACTTGGCTGCTGCTCTTCCTATAGCACAGCAGTGACGACACTCTTGAGAAATAGCCGTCATTCACTGTAGGGTTGGCTGGTTGTGGCGGGGGGTGCGGGGGTGGTGTTGGGGGGGTTTGTGGGTATTTTTCTCCCCCTTCTCTCTCTCTTCACCTCCACAAACCCACCCCGTGTTCATTGACTGGGTCAATGATCCAAAGCAACCTATGGGTGACTGACCAGCTGCCCTAAGGCAGAGACAGCACTTGGCTTCCCCCTTGAAAAAGGAACTCTTTGCAGGATCAAGGGGAAATTGGATCAGTTGAGTAGTCAGTACAGGTGAGATGGGGTGAATGGCCTCCTTGTGAGCTATATGATTCTATATGATCCTATAGGCAAGCCTGGAAGGGCAACACACAATCCTACTTCCTCAGAAGGGTCACCGGACCTGAAACGTTAACTGTGTTTTTTCCTTCACGGATGCTGCCAGACCTGCTGAGCTTTTCCAGCAACTTTGTTTTTGTTGTTTTATGTATAAGGCTGCCAGTACCTGACAGGGTTAACTGATATCCTGAGATAAACTCTACCCAGCAGGATGGAAAGAACTGATCCCTTGGGAAACCATCATGTATCTCAGACATAATAAGTACAAAGTAATAAACCTTTACGAAATATTCTGCTGAAGACTTCATGGATGCATTGTTGCCCATATCGTGTTGGTAACTCAGAGTGAGAAGGATTGATGGCAGTGAATCCGAGCAAGGCACCTCAGAGGTTCCAGTCAACACAGCTCCAACACATCACCCCAACAGAACATGGAATGCACGAGCCTAGTTTGGTTCTGCTGTCACCTGATATTTGCCCTCGGCTGCACTACACAGGGATCCAGAGAGACCATCCAGCCTGGTCATTTCTCTTGGGGAAATTGAAGCCAATTTTCTCACCCTTTAGAATCACAGAATCCCTACTGTGTGGAAGCAGGCCATTTGGCCCATACTGACCCTCTGAACACCATTCGAACCAGAACAGCACCCCCAACACCCGACCCTATCCCTG